CAACCTGACCTTGTCTGTGTCTGACCAACACAACAGACCAGTACAACCTGACCTTGTCTGTCTGTGTACTCTGTTGCTTGTCTGTAGTGGCTACTCTGTTGCCTGTGTCTGACCTTGTCTGTACCTGACCTTGTCTGTTACGGCCACTGTGTTGCCTGTGTCTGACCAACACAACACACCAGTACAACCTGACCTCGTTTGTGTCTGACCAACACAACAGACCAGTACAACCTGACCTCGTCTGTGTCTGACCAACACAACAGACCAGTACAACCTGACCTTGTCTGTAATTGCTATTCTGTTGCCTGTGTCTGACCAACAGACCAGTACAACCTGACCTTGTCTGTAACGGCTACTGTGTCGCCTGTGTCTGACCAACACAACAGTCCAGTACAACCTGACCTTGTCTGTAACGGCTACTGTGTCGCCTGTGTCTGACCAACACAACAGTCCAGTACAACCTGACCTTGTCTGTGACGGCTTCTGTGTTGCCTGTGTCTGTCTAACACAACAGACCAGTACAACCTGACCTTGTCTGTGTCTGACCAACACAACAGACCAGTACAACCTTACCTCGTCTGTGCCTAACAAACACAACAGACCAGTACAACCTCACCTTGTCTGTAACGGCTACTGTGTCGCCTATGTCTGACCAACACAACAGACCAGTACAACCTTACCTTGTCTGTAACGGCTACTCTGTTGCCTGTGTCTGCAAACACAACAGACCAGTACAACATTCTGGGAATGAACTAACAGAACGAATCTTCCATAGGTAGTAGGCAAGTGGTGATTGTTCAGGTCAAGGGTTCAGATTACAATATTTTAATGTTGTGAACTGAGACAGGGATGCATGTATATACATATTGTATAAAATTGTATAAATGTTTCACTTCTTCAAATCCTGCATTATGTTGTGAAAAGTTTGTGTAATAACGTAATGCGTGTAGAAAACATGTGTTCTAGACAGCAGTAATAAACGATCCCGACAAATACCATCCTGTGTAAATATTCGTAATGGCTAATTATTTGGGAGAGTGTGTATTTGACGTCCTTTCACCTGTATCAGATAATTTATGAGACACCTGCGTGTGGGCCACTTCTTGTTTATTCTAGGTAATTAACAATCAGTGTGATCAACTGATCTGGATCTGATCTTGTTGGGTTTGGGGTATTTGCATCAGAATGACAATAACTGATTCATGATCAGGAAACTAAACTATATACACTTCTGTTATTACCTCCAAGACCGGTTTGAGGAATTTATACAATTCATATCATCATGACATTAGACATGACATTAGATGTTTTGGTTCAGTTCTGTGTTGGACCTATTCGATACACTATGTTTCAGGTGTACGAGGTCAGATAAAGTAGGTTGTATATATATACAAATTATACAACAACGTTATGAACAGCAATTATGATTGTATGTTTCATTGGCATTCTAGCATGCGGCTTCTTAATAGCAACGTCTTGTTCATTGCATAAAGCAACGTGTGACGAGCGCTGTGAATGTAGTGACTGACGAAGGGTACTACTTCAATCAGCACCCGTTTTTTATGACTGTTTTACAACTTAATCCGTCCTGCTTGTTGGCTTCATGGCTGTGCTATTTATTGTTCTTACTTCCCACCTGGCCTCGTCCAATTATCTACCCCTTGTTGTTTAAGTACACGATGTGAATGTCACAGCATTCGATCATTCTAATCACTTGGTTTTTGTCACCTTAGCTTGAACATGGTGTGAGAACCTACACAGAAACGTTGCTCTATGCAATTAACAAGTTGCTATCAAAAAGACCGTATGCTTTATTAGCAATTATGCTGTCCTGGCATTCCTGGGAAATTAGAGACAATTGTGAATGTCGAGTCGCCACTGATTTTTTTTAATGATGTTAGTCACCCAGGATTCCTACAAAATATCGTGTTAAATTGTTTGAAAATATACCAGTCCTAATGATTCATTCATCCACATCTCTTGTTTACCTAACACTGTCGTTGCAATAAACAACCTATAAATTGGATCAGTAAAAGAGAAAAACTTGCTTATGAAAATATCTCTTCAGGTAATACAATGAACTGATAGCAACAACTTAGCGGAGCATTCCAGCCATGTATATTTTCTACCTCTTGGACATTTGACTTCCTCCTGTTGTCACTGCTTTATTACCACTATCCTATAGTTGTTGCTGTTAATCCCTTTGATGCACGCCTACATGTTGTTTTACTTAATCCCTGTAAAGTCTAATCTGTGCAGACACCTGCACCTGCTCCTTTTGATAATTATGATTACCCCCTCTCTAATAGAGTTTTGTCATTTGCAATGAATTAAAGTAACCCTTATCGTAGATCACCCAGCCTCCCATTCATGCATATAATTCTTTTTTTTTCGTATCTTAGTTATTTCAGTCACGTGAAATTTTTGTGACAACAAATATTTGCTTGGACACTGAGCCGTTGCCTACCTTTTCCTGTACCACATAAAATCTGCATGGTATGCCGGTTGATATTGTTATTTGAAATCGGCAGACAATGCACACCTGTTGTTGCTGCAGGACAATGAATATTTCCGATACGACATTGTAAGTACTTGGGGGTGCAGACATATGACTTAAATATGTTTGCGCATGCTGCTTAATATCATATATGTGTAATACCACAATATACATGGATAAATTATCAAACTATGCATCGTTTAGAAAAAAAAGTATTTTGATTACATGAAAGAGAATATTTATTAAGTTATAACTTGTGAAAATTAAATGTGCGGGCCCAATGTATGTTTCATTACAAAATTCTCTGTTAATGTCTTCCTACAATCAACAAAATATCATCATCTGGTGTTTAACTGAACCGACAAAACGTACTGGATAGAACCCAAAAGACGTGTATTGTCCACGCGGCACCGCCCGACATTGTTTTGGTGTTTTCCCTGAGTGGCCGCTCTCTGGATTACGCAATTGTTAATTGCTGCAGCCACCAGGGACAACCGAACCGGGACGGTGGCCGCTTATATGGACAGCCCATAAACAACCAATTATCAGGTGTGAAAACAATTAGATTTTCTCGGGTATTGTCACTTTGAACAGTGATACATTGTCGCTTAGGTATTGTTTATCATCTCAGTTCGGTACACTGGTCATGTTGAGCGTGTTGATGGATGCATTTCTAGGAATATGTAAATGATCAAACATTGTTATTATGTATCTAGTATGTGTCCAAACATATTGAATGTATTTATATTTATAGGAAAAGACTGAGGGTTTTTCATGTTGTTCAGAATATATGCTAATAATAAGCCTTCAATGATTTGAATACATGAATTCATTCAACTAAACTATATACAATGTAAATATAGAGAGATGATATACATGTATATGCCAGGGTAGATTGCAAGCGGAGTCTGTAGTGGTAGAAACTTATTATATAGAATAACCTATGCAATTGTAATCTCTACCAGTGGAAGCTCCATTCTGATCCTACATATGATTTTTTCATATGTGAATGTTGAACCATAGTTTGTATCAACAAAATGGTCATGATTAGGACATTATCAATTAATGCAATTTGTATTAAAGTGAGATACATTGATATGGAATTATTTGAATTTCTTTACATTTTTCACATATTAAAATAACATGCATAACAAATGAATATTATTGTTCAGCAAATAAAGTGCTGTTTGCCTACAGAACAATCAGGGTTTCTACCAGTTGAATTGGAAATTGTACAGGTAGAATCGGATCTGACAGGTAGGATCCGATTTCAATCTCTACTAGTAGGATACTGGTAAAGACTGCGAAGTCTCTACTGGTAGAATCTCCGATCAGATCGCAATCTCAACCCTGACAAATATTTATATATATATATCTATATATTGGACACATATTTCTCCGAGAGGATCTATCTCTGAAACATTTGGCACTCAAAGACATGTCTAACATGAAATGACTTCGTCCAGTGAAACTCATGTAATACAGAACGTGTATAATACATGTATAAAGAAATCACCATATTATTTTTATTTTCATTTCGTCTTGATAAGAAGTTAAAATATGCCTTGTCTGACCAACACAACAGACCAGTACAACCTGACCTCGTCTGTGTCTGACCAACACAACAGACCAGTACAACCTGACCTCGTCTGTGTCTGACCAACACAACAGACCAGTTCAGGCGTTCAATAAGGGATACAATGCCTAGGTTACGTTAATAATTAATAGTGGTGAGGTTAAATACTTACCTAATTTTCCTGAAATTAACTGGAACACAGAGACCCTATTGTCATTCCTATATTCATAGGAGTTGGCAGTAAATGCATGCAATCTTTCCCCAATGGCATACATAACGTTTAATCGTTGCTGGGAATAGATGTAGGCCCTTTTAGTGCAGTATACAAAACAGAATGACAGATTTCATCTACATAAGCATAATAATCATTTTGTATGCCTAGTAAATGACCCTCAGTTGAAAAAGCAGGGCATACAACAACAATGCGTGAAAAAAGAGGCCCACAAATTCAGGAATTCAGCATTAATTAAGTTTTTAATGCCACGTTTAACTTAAGGGCATCTCACAATACATATCACTGGTTACCTATATCCATATATAAACTTATATACGTATCCAGACGTACGTACTTATAAATAACTTTATAAATGTACAAGAATGAATATACACACACATGTGCACACAATAACTCTCACCAACACACGTGAATAAATATGTGTAAAATTATCATTTTTATAAAGTGATGGAAAAAAGATCTGCCAAACTGAATGTTGGTAAGATCTTACTTTAAACGACAGCATAACGTTGTACATCGACCACATGAAAGTTTATAGAGACCACAGTCATATTTATGTTTAGGTCAAATGATAATCATGACATCGACATAATATAGGGATATTAGATAATTATACATATATTGTTATGTAACATAATAAGAACCTATCTTATACAATTCTCCGAAAAAGAGAACGTTGTTGAGACGCTTACCTATGGTTGATCCTATCGACATCCTTGTAAGGTCCTCTGGCTGTAGTTATGTATACAAACGGTAAGTGTCATGTTCCTGTAGCTAGTAGAGTGACGGGGCACAAGGTCAACTAGGAAGGCGAGCAACACGAATCAGTTATTCAAACGGTGTGCAACAACTGCGTATCGCCAATCAACATGGCGTCTCTGTTTTCGTCCAATCAGAATGTTTGAGGTTGTTATTGTGTCAGGAAGCTGCGTAATTTGTGTACAATGTGTCAGCGGCCAGCTGCCTAGCCATTGGTCAAATCCAGCAAGCACGTGGGTGTATGAATCACGTCGACTTGACCGCTACTTGTAATGTGTTACTGATGTCAAGTGTGGTAACCATGTGTGTCACTTTCAACATGTGGGGAAGCTCGCTGTGACAGAGGACGTGGTGAAACTTAACCCAGCCTTTGTTTACACTCAGGCAGCTAGCATATAATAGATGATCTCTGGTTAGAGGGACATAATCAGTACAACAAAACCATACCTGAACCTATAAATGTAGAATAAATATCTCCGGCGAACAAACATGCATATATTGACGCTAGCACACACGCGATCATGCACGCACGCACGCACACACACACACGCACGCACGCACGCACGCACGCACGCACACACACACGCACGCACGCACACGCACACACATTAGTAAATTTCCAAAGGCGATCAATACGATAAGTGAATTCCACACGGAGATGAGATATCTCATGAATACGATCAGTGAATTCCTCAAGGAGATAAGATAGCTCATCAATACGTTGAGTGAATTCCTCTAGGCGATGAGATAGCTCATCAATACCATGAGTGAATTCCTCAAGGCGATGAGATAGCTCATCAATACTATGAGTGAATTCCTCAAGGAGATAAGATAGCTCATCAATAGTTGAGTGAATTCCTCAAGGAGATGAGATAGCTCATCAATACCATGAGTGAATTCCTCAAGGAGATGAGATAGCTCATCAATACCATGAGTGTTGAGTGAATTCCTCAAGGAGATGAGATAGCTCATCAATACCATGAGTGAATTCCTCAAGGAGATAAGATAGCTCATCAATATGTTGAGTGAATTCCTCAAGGAGATAAGATAGCTCATCAATACCATGAGTGAATTCCTCAAGGCGATGAGATAGCTCATCAATACCATGAGTGAATTCCTCAAGGCGATGAGATAGCTCATCAATACCATGAGTGAATTCCTCAAGGCGATGAGATAGCTCATCAATATATGAGTGAATTCCTCAAGGAGATGAGATAGCTCATCAATACCATGAGTGAATTCCTCAAAGGAGATAAGATAGCTCATCAATACCATGAGTGAACCATGATGTGAATGAATTCCTCAAGGCGATGAGATAGCTCATCAATACCATGAGTGAATTCCTCAAGGCGATGAGATAGCTCATCAATACGTTGAGTGAATTCCTCAAGGAGATAAGATAGCTCATCAATACCATGAGTGAATTCCTCAAGGAGATGAGATAGCTCATCAGATAGCTCATCAATGAGTGAATTCCTCAAGGAGATGAGATAGCTCATCAATACCATGAGTGAATTCCTCAAGGAGATAAGATAGCTCATCAATACCATGAGTGAATTCCTCAAGGCGATGAGATAGCTCATCAATACCATGATTCCTGAATTTCTTCAAGGGAGATGAGATAGCTCATCAATACCATGAGTGAATTCCTCAAGGCGATGAGATAGCTCATCAATACCATGAGTGAATTCCTCAAGGCGATGAGATACTCTCATCAATATGAGTGAATTCCTCAAGGAGATAAGATAATCATCAATACCATGAGTGAATTCCAAGGAGATAAGATAGCTCATCAATACCATGAGTGAATTCCTCAAGGCGATGAGATAGCTCATCAATACCATGAGTGAATTCCTCAAGGCGATGAGATAGCTCATCAATACCATGAGTGAATTCCTCAAGGAGATGAGATAGATAGGAGATAAGATAGCTCATCAATACCATGAGTGAATTCCTCAAGGAGATGAGATAGCTCATCAATACCATGAGTGAATTCCTCAAGGAGATGAGATAGCTCATCAATACCATGAGTGAATTCCTCAAGGAGATAAGATAGCTCATCAATACCATGAGTGAATTCCTCAAGGAGATGAGATAGCTCATCAATATCATGAGTGAATTCCTCAAGGAGATGAGATGGCTCATCAATACCATGAGTGAATTCCTCAAGGCGATGAGATAGCTCATCAATATGTTGAGTGAATTCCTCAAGGAGATAAGATAGCTCATCAATACCATGAGTGAATTCCTCAAGGAGATGAGATAGCTCATCAATATGTTGAGTGAATTCCTCAAGGAGATAAGATAGCTCATCAATACCATGAGTGAATTCCTCAAGGAGATAAGATAGCTCATCAATATCATGAGTGAATTCCTCAAGGAGATGAGATAGCTCATCAATACCATGAGTGAATTCCCTCAAGGAGATAAGATAGCTCATCAATACCATGAGTGAATTCCTCAAGGCGATGAGATAGCTCATCAATACCATGAGTGAATTCCTCGATGAGATAGCTCATCAATACCATGAGTGAATTCCTCAAGGCGATGAGATAGCTCATCAATACCATGAGTGAATTCCTCAAGGAGATGAGATAGCTCATCAATACCATGAGTGAATTCCTCAAGGAGATGAGATAGCTCATCAATACCATGAGTGAATTCCTCAAGGAGATGAGATAGCTCATCAATACCATGAGTGAATTCCTCAAGGCGATGAGATAGCTCATCAATACGATGTGTGAATTCCTCAAGGCGATGAGATAGTTCATCAATACCATGAGTGAATTCCTCAAGGCGATGAGATAGCTCATCAATACCATGAGTGAATTCCTCAAGGCAGATGAGATAGCTCATCAATACCATGAGTGAATTCCTCAAGGCGATGAGATAGCTCATCAATACCATGAGTGAATTCCTCAAGGCGATGAGATAGCTCATCAATACCATGAGTGAATTCCTCAAGGAGATAAGATAGCTCATCAATACCATGAGTGAATTCCTCAAGGAGATAAGATATCTCATCAATACCATGAGTGAATTCTTCAAGGCGATGAGATAGCTCATCAATACCATGAGTGAATTCCTCAAGGAGATAAGATAGCTCATCAATACCATGAGTGAATTCCTCAAGGAGATAAGATATCTCATCAATATGTGAGTGATTTCTTCAAGGCGATGAGATAGCTCATCAATACAATGAGTGAATTCCTCAAGGAGATAAGATAGCTCATCAATACCATGAGTGAATTCCTCAAGGCGATGAGATAGCTCATCAATACAAGGAGATAGGAGAGATAGCTCATCAATACAATGAGTGAATTCCTCAAGGCGATGAGATAGCTCATCAATACCATGAGTGAATTCCTCAAGGAGATAAGATAGCTCATCAATACAATGAGTGAATTCCTGAAGGAGATGAGATAGCTCATCAATACCATGAGTGAATTCCTCAAGGAGATAAGATAGCTCATCAATACCATGAGTGAATTCCTCAAGGAGATAAGATAGCTCATCAATACCATGAGTGAATTCCTCAAGGCGATGAAGATAGCTCATCAATACCATTGAGTGAATTCCTCAAGGCGATGAGATAGCTCATCAATACCATGAGTGAATTCCTCAAGGAGATAAGATAGCTCATCAATACCATGAGTGAATTCCTCAAGGAGATAAGATATCTCATCAATACGTTGAGTGAATTCCTCAAGGAGATAAGATATCTCATCAATATGTGAGTGATTTCTTCAAGGCGATGAGATAGCTCATCAATACAATGAGTGAATTCCTGAAGGAGATGAGATATCTCATCAATACCATGAGTGAATTCCTCAAGGCGATGAGATAGCTCATCAATATGTTGAGTGAATTCCTCAAGGAGATAAGATAGCTCATCAATACCATGAGTGAATTCCTCAAGGAGATGAGATAGCTCATCAATACCATGAGTGAATTCCTCAAGGAGATGAGATATCTCATCAATATGTGAGTGATTTCTTCAAGGCGATGAGATAGCTCATCAATACAATGAGTGAATTCCTGAAGGCAAGGAGATATCTCATGAATATGTTGAGTGAATTCCTCAAGGCGATGAGATATCTCATCAATATGTGAGTGATTTCCTCAAGGCGATGAGATAGCTCATCAATACGTTGAGTGAATTCCTCAAGGAGATTTGATAGCTCATCAATACATTGAGTGAATTCCTCAATGAGACGAGATAGCTCATCAAAACGTTGAATGAATTCCTCAAGGCGATGACACAGGTCATCAATACGTTGAGTGAATTTCTCAAGGGGATGAGACAGCTCATCAATATGTTGAGTGAATTCCTCAAGGAGTCGAGATTGCTCATCAATACGTTGAGTGAATTCCTAAAGGAGTCGAGATAGCTCATCAATACCATGAGTGAATTCCTCTAGGAGATGAGATAGCTCATCAAAGTGGTGAGTGAATTTGAGATTTCTCATCAATACGATGAGGTGTCAAGGAGAATGCTAGAAATTTGCTGGGTGAAAGATCATCCCTGCTAAGGAATCCAGGATGTATTACACAAAAATACTATCGTAATGACATAAAAACATTTCAACTGGAAAGAAACACAAACAAACACATGGAGTATTGGGGCAAATCCGGGATATCAAGTATGTACACGTAGTTGGATCCGCCATAGCAGCATACAAATCACAGTGACTCATGTCTGTCTGGCGAAGGTGTGATGAGCACACACTCAAATGATATTCGTGATATCCCCGCTACCCACCAGTACGTCCTCCTGGATGCATTGTATAATATGGCGGGTTTGAGTTGTCGACATGACACAGAGTTAAAACATGTTCACAGAAAAATATATCCCTAAACACATTTCAGAATATCTTGATTCTGGTAAGTTACAGTTCCTGTTGCGTTTTGGAGGGTATTAACTGGTGAAAGGTACTAAAGATGTGAAGTCTGTTGTGAATTGTCACAATATTTCGCCATAGTGTCAGAAATGTGGTGTGGCCTGGAGCCCCATCCTTATGACCTGAATGTTATTGTATGTCATAGTGTCCCGTTACCGTCTCCTGGATGTTGTAGTGTGAAACAGTATTTGTCGTATAGTATACACTTGTCCGA